GGCGGGGCGGCGGTGAGCGCTGGGAGGAGAGCCGAGAGGGGAGGGACACGTGTACGCCGAGGGGCGGGGCGGCGGTGAGCGCTGGGAGGAGGGCCGAGAGGGGAGGGACACGTGTACGCCGAGGGGCGGGGCGGCGGTGAGCGCTGGGAGGAGGGCCGAGAGGGGAGGGACACGTGTACGCCGAGGGGCGGGGCGGCGGTGAGCGCTGGGAGGAGAGCCGAGAGGGGAGGGACATGTGTATGCCTACGGCTGATGTATGGTAGACGCCAACACAATGTTGTGATTATCCTCCAATTAAAAATAAACAAATTTTACAAAGACAACAATGAAGTTTGCCACATCAGTGACTTCCTTTCATAAACAATTTCTCTGTGATTGCCATGCTGTTTGATAGCATTTTACCCACAACAGAACATCTTTCAAAATTGGAACCAACTCTCTGAAACCCTACTGCAACTTCATCAATTAGGTTTATGTAATATTCTAAATCCTTTGTTGTCTTTCAACAATCATTACAGCATCATTACCAGAAGTAGATTCCATTTCAAGAAATCCATTTCTTTGCTCATCCAAAAGAAGCAACTCCTCATCCATTAATGTTTTATCATGAGATTTTGCAGCAACTCAGTCACGTCTTCAGGCTGCACTTTAATTCTAGTTCTTTTACTGTTTCCACCACATCTGAAGTTGCTTCCTCAATTTAAGTCTTGAACCCCTCAAAATCATCCACGAGAATTGGAATCAACTCCTTCCAAACCCGTTTGTGTTGATATTTTGACCTATACCCATGAATCACAAATATTTTTAGTGGCTTCTAGAATGGTGAATCCTTTCAAGAAGGTTTTCAATGTACTTTCCCAGATCCATCAGAGGAATATCTATTGACAGCAGCTATGGCCTTATGAAATGTATTTCTTAAATAATAGGACTTGAAAGTTAAAATTACTCTTGATCCATGGGCTGCAGAGAAGATGTTGTGTTAGCCAGCATGAAAACAATATTAAGCTCTTTGTACATTTCCATTAGAGCTCTTGGGTGACCAAGTGCATTATCAGTGAACAGTAATGTTTTTAAAGAAGTCCTCTTTTTCTGAGCAATAGGTCTCAATCATGGGGTTAAAATAGTCAGTAAACCACGTTGTAAACAGATGTGCTGTCATCTTGGATTTGTTGTTTCATTTATAGAGCACAGGCAGAGTAAATTTAGCAGAATTCCTAGGGGCCCCATGATTTTTGAACTGGTAAATGAGACCTGCTTCAACTTTAAGTCACCAGCTGTGTTAGCTCCTAATATGAGAGTGAGTCTGTCCTTTGAAGCCAGGCATTTATTTTTTCCTCTCTAGTTATGAATGTCCCAGATGGCATCTTCTTCCAATATAAGGCCATTTTGTTGACATTGAAAATCTGTTGTTTAGCATAGCCACCTTTGTTAATTATCTTAGCTAAGATTTTTGGGAAAACTTGCTGTAGGTTCTACATCAGAACATATATACTTCTTCATCTTGTACTTTTATGTTAAAGGGATGGCTTCTTTCCTTAAATCCCATGAACCAGCCTCTGCTAGCTTCAAACTTTTCTTCTGTAGCTTTCTTACTGTAGCTTTCATCGAAATGAAAATTTAGAGCCTTGCTCTGGATTAGGCTTTGGCTTACCGGAATGTTATGGTGGTTTAATCTTCTATCTAATCTAGTGGCCTAATTTCAGACCACTAAAACTTTCTCCACATCAACAGCAAGGCTGTTTCGCTTGCTTATCATCTGTGTGTTCAATGGAGTATCACTTTTAATTTCCTTCAAGAACATTTCCTTTGCATTCACAACTTCACTGACTGGTGCAAGAGGCCTAACTTTTGGGCCATCTTGGCTTTCAATGTGCCTTCCTCGCTAAGGCTTAATCATGTCTAGTTTTTTATTTAAAGTGAAAGATATGCAACTCTTCCTTTCACTTGAGCACTTAGAGACCACTGTGAAGTTATTAATTAGCCTAATTTCAATACTGCTGTGTCTCAGGGAATAGGAAGGCCCAAGGAGAGGGAGAGAGACAGGAGAACAGCCAACTGGTGGAGTACTCAGAATACACACATTTATCAATTATCCTAGACAGGCATGGTTCATGGCTCCCCCAAATAACTATAACATTAACATCAAGGGTCACTGATCACAGATGACCATAACAAATATAATAATAATGAAAAACTTTGAAATATTGCAATAATTACTGAATGACATAGGGACAAGAGGTGAACAAAAGCTGTTGGAAAAAAATGGCACTGACAGGCTTGCTTGATGCAGGGTTGCCATAGACCTTCTATTTGTAAAAAAACACAGTATCTGCAAGCACCAAACAGCAAAGCCCAATAAAACAAGGTATGCCTATATATGGGGAATCCCTGTGTCTTCCCCCCAATTTTATTATAAATGCAAAGCTGCTCTTTAAAAGTGTTTTTAAAAGATGAAGAAGAGGAGGAAGAGGAGGAAAGATGAAAGACAAGGGAGGGAGAGAGAAAGAGAGCAAATTCATGGAGAGCAACAGTCTTCATTTACACAAATGGTCAAGAAGCCAGAGTGGCTATTAGGTTGGTGCAAAAATAATTGCAGTTTTGCATTGAATTTTGTCATTTGATACTGGAATATTATTCTTAAATAAATGCAGTTATGCTATACGTCATTTTAATGCTCATTTCTCACTTTATTTTTTTTGCTAATGACATTACTTGCTGTTTATTTTAGACTACAGATAGAAATGATGTTAGAGAAAAAGCAAATTCCAGCGATTTTCTTATTCAAGTTCAAAATGGGTCATAGAGCAGCAGAGACAACTCACAACATCAACAATACCTTAGGCCCAGGAACTACTAATGAACACACAGCGCAGTGCTGGTTCAAGAAATTTCGCAAAGGAGATGAGAGCCTTGAAGATGAGGAGTATAGTGGCCAGCCATCGGAAGTTACAATGACCAACTGAGAGCCGTCATCAAAGCTGATCCTCGTACATGAGAAGTTTCTGAAGAACTCAATGCCAACCATTCTACAGTCATTCGGCATTCATTTGAGGCAAACTGGAAAGGTGAAAAAGCTCGATAAGTGGGTGCCTCATAAGCTGACCGCAAATCAAAAAAATGATCATTTTGAAGTATCATCTTCTCTTATTCTACACAACAATGAACCATTTCTCAACTGGCCTAGGATGCGTGGTGAAAAGTGGATTTTCTACAGCAACCAGTGATGACCAGCTCAGTGACTGAACCAAGAAGAAGCTCCAAAGCACTTCCCAAGCCAAACTTGCACCAAAAAAAGCCATGGTCACTGTTTCATGGTCTTCTGCCAGTGTGATCCGCTACAGCTTTCTCAGCCCCAGGGAAACCATTACATTTGCTGAGAAGCATGCTCAGCAGATCGATGAGATGCACTGCAAACTTCAATGCCTGCAGCTGGTGGCACTGGTCACCAGAAAGGGCCTGATTCTCCTCCATGACAATGCCCAACCACACGTCGCACAACCAGTGCTTCAGAAATTGAACGAACTGGGTTGTGAAGTTCTGCCTCATCCACCATATTCACCAGACCTCTCGCCAACCGACTACCACTTCTTCAAACATTATCAATGACTTTTTGCAGGGAAAATACGTCTGCAACCAGCAGAAGGCAAGATATGTTTTCCAAGAGTTTGTCAAATCCTGAAGCACAGATTTTTTTTTTTATTATGAAGTGAAAGTGAAGTCGCTCAGTCGTGTCCGACTCTGTGACCCCATGGACTGTAGCCCACCATGTCCCTCCACCCATGGGATTTTCCAGACAAGAGTACTGGAGTGGGTTGCCATTTCCTTCTCCAGGAGATCTTTCTGACCCAGGGAGTTTATATTTAATCACCATGACTATATTAATGCCTATACTGATCCATAATCTACCTTTTGTAAAATTCATTTTTAATTGAAAGATAATTGCTTTACAGTATTGTGTTGGCTTCTGCCAAACATCAACATGAATCGGCCGTAGGTGTACCTACGCCCCCTCCCTCTTAAGCCCCCCTCCTGCCTCCCTCCCCACCCGCCCTCTCGTTGTTACAGAGCCCGGTTTGAAATCTCTATATCTCACAGCAAACTACACTATAGGAGTAAACACGCTTATTTCTTGTTGGCAAACATGTGTTGATTACAATGGTTACTATATTGATTAATAAAGATGTGTTTGAGCCAAATTATAATGATTTAAAATTCATGGTCCACACTTCCTTCCCCGATCAGTTCAAGGTTTGGCTGCCTTTGGCTATCATAAGTCAGTTAAAGTTCTCTGCCTGGTCAGCTGACCCAAATTTTGATTCCTGAGGTATCTAAGCCTACTTTATTTTTTGTTAAACTTATTAACTAGGCATGTAAGAGGAAGTATCCAGACTCTGCTAGCTTTATAACAGTAACCCTAATTTACCCTTGATGATCAGGGCCAAGCATACCAACCAACACTAGAAGCCTTGCTTCTCTAGCTGTGAACTGAGTTTCCTGACTGGTCACAATGTTTAATGCAGATTATATGTAAATTTTGATGATTAAAAAATGTTTCCCCTGAGGCCTCCAGATAAAGATGCCAGACTGAATACAATAATTTTCAATTTCACTTCCTCTAAAAATACTCTAAAGGGATTTTTTAAAAACTCATAATCCTATAAATCCAGAGAGAAAAGAAGAGGAGACAATAGCAATAAAACATTAAGGCTGGAATGCAGAAAAGTGACTTAGAATATAGTAGGGAAAGCCAAGAACGAAATTGTCATGTATCACAGAATCTTCCAAAGGCTCAGGAACTGAATGGACATTTGGAGGTGGGGATAAAAAAGGATATTAAATAAGGATTGCTAGAATGCTTTTTTTAAAAGTACATTCCCTATCCCTTGAGTGTGGTCTGGGTTTAGCAACCTTCTAAAGAGTAGGGTACGGAAGAACTTACCAGTGGTCCAGGAGTTAAGACTCCAGGCTCCCAATGCAGGGGGCCCAGGTTCGATCCCTGGTCAGGGAACTAGATCCCACATGCCAATTATGAGTTTGCACACTGCAGACAAAGACCTGGTGCAGCCAAATAAATAGATATTTAAAAAAAATACACAGTATGGAGAGACACAAGTAACTAGAGAAACAAGACCCAGCACCTTAGCCAAGTGAGCACTCCAAGGGTAAGTCATAAGTCATGTTCTGTCCATTCTTCTGATGTGATACAGTGAAAAGGGAGGCTCACCTCTGTGGCATTTGTCCCCCAAACCCATACCCCCAGTGGAATCATCACAAATCCAAACACCAGGCAAACATAAATAGAGGGACAGCTCACAATACCTGACCTGGACTCTTAAAAATAACCTTCCCTGATAGCTCAGTTGGTAAAGAACCCGCCTGCAACACAGAAGACCCCAGTTCAGTTCCTGGGTCAGGAAGATCCCTGGAGAAGGGATAGGCTACTCACTCTAGTATCCTGGCAGCAGCTGAACGGTGCAGGAGCGGCCGAGAGGAGACACCCCACGTCCAAGGTCAGGAGCAGCGGCCGCGCTTTGCTGGAGCAGCCGTGAAGAGATACCCCACGACCAAAGTAACAGAAACCCAAGTAAGACAGTAGGCGCTGAGAGAGAGCATCAGAGGGCAGATAAACTGAAACCACAATCACAGAAAACTAGCCAATCTGATCACACAGACCACAGCCTTGTCTAAATCAGTGAAACTAAGCCATGCCGTGTGGGGCCACCCAAGACGGATGGGTCATGGTGGAGAGGGCTGACAGAATGTGGTCCACTGGAGAAGGGAATGGCAAACCACTTCAGTATTCTTGCCTTGAGAACCCCATGAACAGTACGAAAAGGCAAAATGATAGGACACTGAAAGAGGAACTCCACAGGTCGGTAGGTGCCCAATATGCTACTGAAGATCAGTGGAGAAATAACTCCAGAAAGAATGAGGGGATGGAGCCAAAGAAAAACAACACCCAGTTGGATGTGACTGGTGATAGAAGCAAGGTCCGATGCTGTAAGGAGCAATATTGCATAGGAACCTGGAATGTTAGGTCCATGAATCAAGGCAAATTGGAAGTGGTCAAACAAGAGATGACAAGAGTGAACGTCGACATTCTAGGAATCAGCAAACTAAGATGGACTGGAATGGGTGAATTTAACTCAGATGATGATTGTATCTACTACTGTGGGCAGGAATCCCTTAGAAGAAATGGAGTAGCCATCATATTCAACAAAAGAGTCCAAAATGCAGTACTTAATGCAATCTCAAAAATGACAGAATGATTTCTGTTCATTTCCAAGGCAAATCATTCATGATCACAGTAATCCAAGTCTATGCCCTGACCAGTAATGCTGAAGAAGCTGAAGTTGAAAGGTTCTATGAAGACCTACAAGGTCTTCTAGAACCAACACCTAAAAAAGATGTCCTTTTCATCATAGGGGACTGGAATGCAACTGTAGGAAGTCAAGAGACACCTGGAGTAACAGGCAAATCTGGCCTTGGAGTACAGAATGAAGCAGGGCAAAGGCTAATAGAGTTTTGCCAAGAGAACCCACTGGTCATAGCAAACACCCTCCTTCAATAACACAAAGGAAGACTCTACACATGGACATCACCAGATGGTCAATACCAAAATCAGATTGATTATATTCTTTGCAGCCAAAGATGGAAAAGCTCTATACAGTCGGCAAAAACAAGACCGGGAGCTGACTGTGGCTCAGATCATGAACTCCTTATTGGCAAATTCAGACTTATATTGAAGAAAGTGAGGAAAACCAGTAGACCATTCAGGTATGACCTAGATCAAATCCCTTATGGTTATACAGTGGAAGTGAGAAGTAGATTTAAGGGACTAGATCTGATAGACAGAGTGCCTGATGAACTATGGACAGAGGTTTGTGACATTGTACAGGAGACAGGGATCAAGACCATCCCCAAGAAAAAGAAATACAAAAAAGCAAAATGGCTGTCTGAGGAGGCCTTACCAATAGCTGTGAAAAGAAGAGAAATGAAAAGCAAAGGAGAAAAGGAAAGATATACCCATTTGAATGCAAAGTTCCAAAGAATAGCAAGGACAGATAAGAAAGCCTTCCTCAGTGATCAGTGCAAAGAAATAGAGGAAAACAACAGAATGGGAAAGACTAGAGACCTCTTCAAGAAGATTAGAGATACCAAGGGAACATTTCATACAAAGATGGGCTCACTAAAGGACAGAATGGTATGGACCTAACAGAAGCAGAAGATATTAAGAAGAGGTGGCAAGAATACACAGAAGAACTATACCAAAAAGATCTTCATGATCAGGTAACCACGATGCTGTGATCACTCACCTAGAGCCAGACATCCTGGAATGTGAAGTCAGGTGGGCCTTAGGAAGCATCACTACAAGCAAAGCTAGTGGAGGTGATGGAGTACCAGTTGAGCTATTTCAAATCCTAAAAGATGATGCAATGAAAGTGCTGCATTCAATGTGCCAGCGAATTTGGGAAACTCAGCAGTGGCCACAGGACTGGGAAAGGTTAGTTTTCATTCCAATCCCAAAGAAAGACAATGCTAAAGAATGCTCAAAATACCGCACAATTGCACTTATCTCACACGCTAGTTAAGTAATGCTCAGAATTCTCCAAGCCAGGCTTAAGCAATACGTGAACCATGAACTTCCAGATATTCAAGCTGGTTTTAGAAAAGGCAGAGGAACCAGAGATCAAATTGCCAACATCTGCTTGATCATCGAGAAAGCAAGAGAGTTCCAGAAAAACATCTATTTCTGCTTTCTTGACTATTCCAAAGCCTTTGGCTGTGTGGATCACAACAAACTATGGAAAATTCTGAAAGAGATGGGAATACCAGACAACCTGACCTGCCTCTTGCGAAACCTGTGTGCAGGTCAGGAAGCAACAGTTAGAACTGGACATGGAAAAACAGACTGGTTCCAAATCGGGAAAGGAGTATGTCAAGGCTGTATATTGTCACTCTGCCTATTTAATTTATATTCAGAGTACATCATGAGAAATGCTGGGTTGGAGGAAGCACAAGCTGGAATCAAGATTGCCGGGAAAAATATCAATAACCTCAGATATGCAGATGATACTACCCGTATGGCAGAAAGTGAAGAAGAACTAAAGAGACTCTTGATGAAAGTGAAAGAGGAGAGTGAAAAGGTTGGCTTACAGCTCAACACTCAGAAACTAAGATCATGGCATCCAGTCCCATCACTTCATGGCAAATAGATGGGGAAACAGTGGAAACAGTGGCTAACTATTTTTTTGACTCCAAAATCACTGCAGATGGTGACTGCAGCCATGAAATTAAAATATGCCTACTCCTTGGAAGGGAAGTTATGATAAACCTAGACAGCATATTAAAAAGCAGAGACATTACTTTGTCAACAAAGGTCTGTCTAATCAAGTATGGATTTTTCCAGTAGTCATGTATGGATCTGACAGTTGGACTATAAAGAAAGCTGAGTGCCAAAGAATTGATGGTTTTGAACTGTGGTGTTGGAGAAGACTTTTGAGAGTCCCTTGGACTGCAAGGAGATCCAACCAGTCCATCCTAAAGGAGATCAGTCCTGGGTGTTCATTGGAAGGACTTATGTTGAAGCTGAAACTCCAGTACTTTGGCCACCTGATGTGAAGGGCTGACTCATTGGAAAAGACCCTGATGCTGGGAAAGATTGAGGGCAGGAGGAGAAGGGGATGAGACAGAAGATGAGATGGTTGGATGGCATCACCAACTCAATGAACATGAATTTGGGTAAAATCCAGGGTTGGTGATGGACAGGGAGGCCTGGCGTGCAGTGGTACATGGAGTCACAAAGAGTCGGACGTGACTGAGCAACTGAACTCAACTGAACTGAACTCTTCAAAAAGTGCCAAGGGCACGAAAGACAAGGAAAAGCCAAAAAAAACTATCACAGCTTGGAGACCAAAGGATCATGATGATTGAATGCAGTGTAACATCCTGAAACAATTGCAGCACTGTTTATAATAGCCAGGACATGGAAGCAACCTGGATGCCCATCAGCAGACAAATGGATAAGAAAGCTATAGTACATATACACAATGGAATATTACTCGGCCATTAAAAAGAATTCATTTGAATCAGTCCTAATGAGATGGATGAAACTGGAGCCCATTATACAGAGTGAAGTAAGCCAGAAAGATAAACTATATAGTATACTAACTATATAACTATACTAACTATATAGTATACTAACACATATATATGGAATTTTAAAAGATGGTAACGATAACCCTATATATAAAACAGAAAAAGAGACACAGATGTACAGAAAAGACTTTTGGACTATGTGGGAGAAGGTGAGGGTGGGATGTTCTGAGAGAATAGCATTGAAACAAGTATACTATCAAGGGTGAAACAGATCACCAGCCCAGGTTGGATGCATGAGACAAGTGCTCAGGGCTGGTGCATTGGGAAGACCCAGAGGGATGGGATAGGGAGGGAGGCGGGAGGGGGGATCGGGATGGGGAACACATGTAAAGCCATGGCTGATTCATGTCAATGTATGGCAAAAACCACTACAATATTGTAAAGTAATTAGCCTCCAACTAATAAAAATAAATGAAAAAAAATCCTGAAACAGAGAAGGGGCTTCAGCAAAGTAAACGGGAAAGACAAAGTTTGCGGTTTTGTTAACAGTATTGCACTCATGTTAATGTCTTAGTTTTCTAAATGCAGCTTGATTGTGGAAGATGTTACCTTTCAAGGAAGCCTGGGGAAGAGTGTACAGGAGATCTGTACTATCTTTGCAAGTTTTTTTTATTTCAATGGCTTCTCTGGTGGCTCACTGGTAAAGAACCTGCTTGACAATGCAGGAGACACAGGTTCCATCTTCCAGGAAGATCCCACGTGCCAAGGAGCAACTCAGCACCGCAACTACTGATCTTGTGCTCCAGATCCTGGGAGCCGCAACTACTGAGGCCACATGCCACAGATGCTCAAGCCTGTGCTCCCTAGAGTCCGTGTTCCAGAATGAGAAAAGCCACCACAATGGGATCCCATGCACTACAACTGGAGAGCAGCCCCCCCCACCCCCCGCAACCAGA